TAAACAGGAGGGCAATGTATACAGTGTGGAAACACCGGATAAAAAGGATATCTATGTCCCAAATGAGACGGATTAAGACTAAGCACAATTCCATCCCACTATTCAGAACCATATGTGATTTAAAACTCAACGAATTTCTTATTTCTGGATTTAACGTTTTTTTCCTTCAATCCACAGTTGACCATTCGTCATAGAAACCATAGACGGCAAAGCAGACAGGAGGCCATGTGTAAGTATCATGGCTGCTAATGTTCACGGCATTTTCTTGTCCAAAGGAGGCGAAGCTTTCTAGCAGTTTTCCTTAACACTTTGCCCCTAGTGGAAGGGAAAACTGAAACTTGCTGAGTTTAAGGAACTTTCTCCAGCAACCCAACAGAGTCCTAGCTCTGAATGACAGCAGGGGTCTTGGGTTCTGGAACAAACTCTTGGTTTGAAGAAAGACACAAGATCTTGAACTTGTTTTCTTCTTCAAAAATAGAATTGTGTGTATGGCTATTTGCCTGCATGGATGTATGAGGAAGCCAGAAGAGGGCATTGGATCTCCTGGAACTGGAGGTACAGATGGTTATTAAACACCATGTGGGTGCTGGGAACAGAACCTGGGTCCTCTGCAAGAGGAGCAAGGGTTCTTAAGCACTGAGCCATCTCTCCAGTTCCTCAACTCTCTCTCTGTCTCTCTCTCTCTCCCTCAACCCCCCCCCCGTCTCCCTCTCCCTCTTCCTCTCCCTCTCTCCCCCTACTCCTCACCCTCTTTTCAGACTTTTGCTTTGGAACATGAGAGACATTCATTTGGTCATTTGCTGGACTGTGGTGCTCCTGCTTCTGGACACCCTATCCCCCTAATAGTAGCCGAGGGTGATGGCTTCCCCAGAATTCCTGGTTCTGATAACTGCCCAGTGTGATCAGCAATGCTCTTACTGCCACTCACTAGGTCCCTGTGTGACATGGGATGATTCAATTAAGACAAGGGGTTTTTAACCTTCCCTGCACTTGAAATTCACCAAGGGAGCTTTAAAATTCCTCTGTTCATGGCCAGGTCACACCCTAGGCCAATTCAATACAAATCTCTGGAGGAAGGGTTGAGTTAAAACTCCTTGAGTGATTCTAATGTTTAGCCAGAGAACTGATGATGGAAGGAATAAGAAATCATGATTTTAGGTACCATTCCCTACAAGGTGTCTTATGTGTCCTAGTCCATTTATTCCTTACTGACCTGGAGAGTAAGTTCTAACATCATGTGACTGGAAAGTGCACTGATACCTGGGCGATTCTAACTCACTATGCATGCACAACACAGGAGCAGAGGATGCTTCCTGCAAGCTGCTGGCAATTTAGTGACGATTAAATATGGTAGTGCGCACAACTTCAGTCTATCCATTTCTTTTTTTAGATTGCTTTTCCTGACCACTAATTCTGAGATTTAGTTTCTCATCCAGTCTATTTGTGAAATTCATACGTTGTTCCCTTCCTCCCTCCTTCCCTCCCTCCCCCCTTCCCTCCCTCCCTCCTTCCCTCCCTCCTTCCTTTTTGAAATTAGTGTCATCCAACCACAATGATGGAGCAGGGCTTAGGTCAGATGTCTTTGTAGGAGATACTGGTATTGGCTTCCGTGGTGGAGGGAAGACACTGACTTCTTCCAGTGTCTTTCTGTGCTGACAGGCATAGAAGGAATAATACTAACAAGAACCAACATTTCTGGCAGCCACATGGGCTGGGACTTGTCTCCGGTGTTTTGTAGGGAGGCAGGTAGCCAGATCCGTCTAAGTACTCTGGCCCAGAGTTCAGTTTCCATGTCTGTTCTGTACAGTTGGCCCTCAAAATAACCAGACTGGAAGGGTTTTCTTTTTTTAAAACATATGTTTATACTGAATATATACTCTTGCCATCAATCCCTAAAACATGTAACAGTTACACAGCATTAGGTGTTATGAGCAATCTAAAGATGAGTTAACATATACAGATTATGTAGGTTACATGCACACACCATACAGTTTTATAGAACAGATTGCCACTGGGGCAACAGCTGAACTGTAGGAGACAACGGCGGTCTGAGAGATTGTCACTGCGGAAAAGAGGGGTCTCTATCAACCTCAGAAGAGGGGGTAACGAGACAAAGCTGGCCCTATTCCAAGCCCTTATCCTTACTTTTACCCCATCCCTCCAAATAGCTGATCCCCGCCTTCCTTGGAGAACAAAGGAACCAGAAGGAGCCAGAGTCTTGTTTGAAGGGAAACACTATGTCCACTTCTGCCCACACTGAGCACTGCTGTGTCCTGCGTGGTTTCCAGCCCTCTATATACATAGCTTTAGAAGGTCAACCGCTTGGCCAAGCTTCACTGTTTCAAAAGCATGGGGCTGGATGGGAACCAAGCTGACTGATGCCATGGTTCCTGACCTAAGCACAGGTTAAGTAAGGTAGGAACCAAACTCATCCAACTCATGGCACACTGTACCAAGCCTCTTTCTTCTGGTGTTTTTACTCATTTAAAAGTGTTGAAGAATCTTGGTAGAATATAACTGATGTATACTGATGTATAAAAAGCCGATAGTAGTTTCTAATTGGGAAAGGAAGGTGGCCTTAGAGCTGGAAGGCTCTTTCAGGTGACACCTTGTGCCTTACTTTGTCTCCATAGTCTTGGTCTGGTCCTTGAGAGTTGCCTCCTTGTATTTGTTCTCCCCACTAATGAGGATAACACTATCTGCTACTCCAGAGCTTTAATCTAGGGTGGATTAACCATGTCAACTGCTATCTCCCATCCCCATAAACATCCACGTTTAGGAGGGGCTGGAAGTGGAGGGGGCATTTACTTCCACACAGACAGGCAGGGCTTCTGCCCTCCTCAAAACCGCATGCCTTCTGGTTGTACCCTTGGCACGCAACTGGCAGATGGCACAGTATGGGCACATACACGCCAGGGTTCAGGGCCAGGCCTACATCACTTCTACCCACATCTCACCAGCTGGACCACAGCTGCACAACCACACCTCAACCGCGTCATTGGTTGGCAGAGACAGGCAGGTCCCCAGAGCTCACTGGCAAGCCACATTTAGCTAAAACGGTGAGCTTCTGGTCCAGTGAGAGTCCCTATCTGAAAGCAATAAGGAAGAGAATGGTAGATGAAGACAGCTGATGCCCTGTTCAAGCCTCTGAGTATATGCACATGGGCACCCCCCCCACACACACACACATGCATGCACACACTGTCTTTAGTCCAACAACTTTAGCAACATAAAGGAAATAACCAGACAAAGATGAATTTACAAGCATGTGTAAACAATTATTGTTAACAATAGTCAAAGACGGAAAGCAACAGCTATTTGGCAACCTGGGATTAAAGAACTCTTGGAAACCCATGTGATAAAGATGGACATGACTAGGACAGAAAGGTGACCACAGCATACTAGAAAGGATCACTTGCAAACGGGGTTTCTATTCTGTATTTTTGAAACAAAAAGCAATAAAAGAGAAAGAATATATGTTGAAAAAGCAACTTTGGTTATTTCTGGGTAATAGGATTATAGGTGATAGTCCTCTATCTTATTTTTCCTGTATCTTTGTAACTTTTCTACAATGATATTGTAGATAGGATCATCCTTGGCTGAAAACAGCAAAACTCTGAACTCCAATGGTATAAAACCTCAATGACGCAGAACTGATGTCTAAGATGTTCCTGTCTTTCCCTTCATGGTCTAAATGTGGCAGTTCCTGCACCCCAGTTCTCACAATGCATTTGATCTCAGCCACATTTGCATTGAACCCCATGCTCCAGCTATCATATATGTCTTTAATCCCTACACAACCAATTGTTACATATATATTCGAAGAGAGAAGTGGACAGGAAGGACTGCCCAAGGGAGTGGGGGACAGAAGTCCTATGGCAGACTTAACCTGAACGGCCTGATCTGGGCCCTGTGACCATATCTAGCTGGAAAGAGGGTAGGCGACAGAGTCTGGGAAACAGGATTGCAATGTCTGCCATGGCCCGCTACTGATTTTACAATTACTGAAATTGAAAAGCCAGTTGTTTCCTTTATTCTTGCTCCTTCGATGCGTTTTCCTTCCCACCGCACTCCACCTACTCAAGCTGCAACCATCAGCAGATTCACACTCACAGAGCCAAGGGGGTGAGGGGGAACCCTGAGCGGAGGCTGCGGCCTCCTCCAGGGTGGGAGTGGAGGGATGGGCAGCAAGCCACAGGGCCTGGAATCAGCTTGTTTGCTCGCTTGACCTCATCTGGACTCTCGAGGTTTGGGCTCTGAAAGTTTATCAGTGGAGACTTTTGCAATTTCAGTACTATTATTTTCTAGACTATGCAGAGCTAGCCTGGGTGTTTCATCCAGATAGTTTTGGTCTCAGTCAGCTTTCCCAAATAAATGCTTGCCCACAATCCCCACAAAGGCAAGGGCTTAGGTTGCCTGGGTTCAAATCTTGGCTGGTCAGCCCCTGTTATGTGTCTCTGGACCATAGCTGTTTTTGTTTCATCCACTGCAAAATGAGAATCCCAAGCGTGAACGTTTCGTCGGTTCCTGGTGAAAGATGGGATGAGTCAGTGTTTGTCAAGTGCTTATCACATACTGAGTGCTACAGAAATATTTGTTTAAAAATATATATATATAAACACAAGAGACAAGAAAGCTGTCTGGGCCCTGTGTGTTTGGAGCTACCTCTCACTCCACACAAAGCTGCAAGGAAGGGCTGAACTTTTCTTTTGTTCCCTGTTGGCAAAGCTCCTGTCCTCTGTTGTAGGAAGGTGGGGCGGGGGGGTGCACGGGAAGCCGGAAGGTCAGAAGGATCTCTTAGACAGATGGTATCACTGCCCTCATTAGAGATGGGGAAACTGAGGCCAGGGGAGATGCAGATATTGACCGCAGTCACAAGCTTGTAGAGCTGAGATCCCACCTGGGCATGTGTGACCTGGACAGCCCCTATATTAAGCTTGAGGTTTTCCAGTCATGTTTTGATAACTCCTAAGAAGTTCACACACGCATCTAACGCCCGGTTTTAAAAGGATCTGTTTCTTTTATTCAGCTTAGCAAGTCCAGCTCAAGGCCAACTCTGGCCAGCTGAAATGACCAATAATTAACGTCAGGAATATCTTACAGGTCCAAATTCCTCCCTGAGTCGCCACAAAATTCCTTTCCACCCTTCGATCTGTCTCGGTGCCACCTCTGTGAATGCCACTTTCAAAGAGAAAGAGCCGTCGCCTGCTCAGCGCCTTCACGAATGACTGCCATCGAATCTGAGCAAACCACAGGCATTCAAGGAAGCATCCTGGTTCTATCCCTTTAAGAAAAAAGAAAAAGAAATCGCTCAGCCCCACCCTACCCCACCCTGTGCCTGTGAAGTTCTGGAGCTTTGTGGACTTGAGATAGAGCCAAGATAAAAGGAATTAAAAACAAACCGAAGTTTTAAAAAGCAAAACAACAGCAACAAAAAAATTTGTTCCCAGTTCATAGGCACTTCTACTCCCAAGCTGCAGTGCCCCAGGGGTCACCTCTAGCCCCAGTTGGGCCTCCTCCCCAGCCCCGCCCCCCAAGCATAGCACCGCTCTGAGAAGACAGGCGTTTATCTCCGTCAGCTCCCACCTTCCTCCTCCAGCCACTCATCTTTCCCCTTTTATAAACTGTTGGCTTCATAATGGTTTTCCTCCTACTGCCAGGGGGTGAGAGGGTGCTAAGGCCCGAGGAGCAGCTGCTAGCGAGCTCCCCGGTGCAGATCCTGTGGGCGGGGCCGGCAGTAGGTAGGAGAGACCAGGAGAGAGATTAGGTGAAACATTAGCCCGGGCCTTTTGGACACAGGCCAATGTCTTTCAATGATTTCTTTGTGTGCTTTGGATGCTGGGCTTGTTAGGCAGGGGACGGGCACCCATTAGAAGATTTCACAATGATTTGCCATGTTACAGTTCTAAACATGTCAACTCATCATCGAGGTTCAATTCATATTTTTACAGTCTTTTTAGACTCTCACACCGCCCCTCCCCACCGCAACACGCCCTTCTCTCCCTGGGGAGCTTCAGGGGAAAGTACTCTAAGAGAATTAATCAAAATTACTAGGTAATGCTCTAAAAATAATAAATGCCGTTATAGGCTGGACTCCTTTCAAGTTCGAGCTCATTCTGTAAGCTTGGCGGTCCGTATGTCAAGTTGCATGTGTATTACTTCTTTATTAGGAGGAAGTGGTCTATTGTATAGAGACAGGTACCTTATGAAGACACATGGATGCTGTGACTCTCCCAACACTGGGCTGGTTTTCAGCTATATTCATTCAGCAATGTGGTTGAGGAGGGGGCAAAGGGCGGCTATTGAACTCCTTACCCTCTCTTCATATGCCAACCTTGCAAATTAGGATCTGCTACAGACATGCTTGGCATCTGAACGCAAAGGTAGCGGACATCAGGGTTCAGATGGCTACATGCCTTGGCAGCTCTGGCCCCACCCACTGCACGGTACTACCGCTGGGCAAAGGGTTAGAAAATACTGAAGATGATTATTAGTACCTGCAAACAGCAGCAGCAACAATCACACAGGAGAGTAACTTTGTGGGGGTTTTGTTGTTGCTGCTGTTGTTTTAGTTTTAGACAGATTCTTCCTGCTGTAACCACCTGGCTTTGAACTTGAGATCCTCCTGCCTCAGCCTCGAAAGTACTGGGATTATAGTTATGCAACTGATGTTATCATCCTGGTTTCAAAATATGTGCGCGCGCGTGTGTGTCTGTGTGTGTGTGTGTGTGTGTGTGTGTGTGTGTGTGTGTACTTACAGATGTGTGCCTGTGTACTCACTCATTCTAGAGTGTGTGGAGGCCACAGGTTGACATCAGGGACCTTCCTCAATTGCTTTCTAACTTAGCTTTTAAGACAGGATCTTATGCTGAACCTGGAACTCATTAATTTCCCTACCGCAGAATCCATGCATCTCTGTGTGTCGCTGCTTCAGCAGAGCTGGGATTACAGATGTGTGCAGCCATACCTAACTTTTGCACGGGTGCTGGGAATTTCAACTAAATCCCAAGGAATGTACATACTCAACCATCTCTCCAGCCTCCTCCCCATTCCAAGAATATTGAGGGGGCAGGGTGGGGTGTAACTGAGTCTTGTACTTAAGGCCTTCAAGCATGGCTGGAGCAAGGTTAGACTGAAAGGTGAGGTTGAAAGGGAAATCTGCACCAGAGAGAAAAAGGTCATGAGATGAATCCCTTTCCTGCTTTAACTGATACAAGTTTCTGTTTTTCCATGGACCTTTTCAGCCAGTGGATGCCCCAAAATTTCCATGAACCAGGGCCCTAATCACCCATAGCCCATAGATCACTTATCTATGTCAGGCAGGGCTACTGGGTCAGGGTGACTGTGAAGAAAAATAGGAGTGAGGACTCCTGAGCCTTGACTGTGTATGTTATTTGTGTCCAAGTCTAAGTCTGGCTGCTATGGGGCTAAGTCACAAGGCTGTTTCCAACCTAAGAAATGCCCTCTGGCCTGAGACTGCTCCTCAGATAATTACAGTGCCTTCTTTCTCCAAAGGGAGGCTGATTGCAGTGCTGCAAGTCCCAGCCTTCACTCGTTCCAGTTCCTTCCTTAGCCAGCTCCATAAATCACGGCTGGCAGGAAAGACTGGAGGGTCATAAGTAATTGAATTCCGACCAACCTTCACACCTAATTCAAGTCTGACCCTTTCCTGGATCAATCTGCTGTCAGAGCTGGTAAGTGACTATTGTTTTTAAATTCCAAGAAACCTTTCTTTGAGGGCCTACTGTGTGCTAGCATCATTGGCTTGGTGAGAGGTGTAGCCGTCACCTCACCTCATTCATTCACTCACTCATTCATTCATTCTGTTCCCACTTCCACAGAATCCAGACTCTGAGGAGTTAACAGTCAGTGGGGAGGAAAGCAAAGGTCACCCTGGGGTCAGTCCTAGAGAAAAAAAAAGTGTTCTCCAGACTCCCTAACTTCCCATTATTGCTGGGAGGTAGGCCATTTACCGATGGAAACGCAGGAGCTGCTTCTAGGTGAAAGAACAGGTAAGAAAGTTTCCCTTCTCTCAAAGCAAAGTCAACCCCCCCAGACTCATTCAAGTTCTCTCGGCACCATATTTGATGTGGGTTGTCAGGTGTTCTTCCCTCTGTGGGTGTAAGGCGGGCAGGCATGCGATTGGGGGTGGGGGTGGGGAGAGGTGCTGTCCTCGATGACTGAGCACTGCCTGGGAAGGTACTGGGGAGCCCTAGGCTCCTCACAGCTGTGGTGGTACTACTAATGACTCTCACTCTCTCTCAGGACTCAGCAGCCCCAGACCTCATGATGGGTCAGCCTGGAAACCAAGTCTGAGGCAGGCAGTGCTTATTCAAGCCACGTTTCAGTAGGACAGTCTCCTGACTTCACTCTGCTTGTAAGCCCCTATGCTGCTCTCCTGTCTTCTGAGTATACACACGGTCTGGATTCCATTACCAGAACACAACTGTGGCATTTCACATTTTCCAAAAAATACAGTTCTTCCTTCTTCCTTCAAGAGGCTGCATCACACCCCGCCACCGTTTCTCATCCACAGACAGTTGCAACCCAGCTCATGGGTGACTCTGTTCTGGCCCTCCAGCCCATGCACTGGGTTGCTACAGATAATATTCTTGGCAGCAATATGATTTGGAGCAATGAGTCAAGATTGTGCAGAGGTTTGCTCAGGGAAAAAGAATTAATGTGACCGAATAATTTTTACTTTCTTGTTTTAATTCCAGGATGACAGGAGACCCCTGTGATGTAGTCAGTGGCCTGGGGACCCTGAGCAGCCCGGAAAACTATGTTTAGGTAGGAATGTTAATGGAATTATCCCTTGCTGCTGGGTAAGAGTCTGCTGTTGAGAGATAATTACCCAGGCAAAGATGAAGCATCATGGGAGCCTAATGCTGAGGCAGAGAGCTCACTGTTTATTTTCCACGTTGCCGCATAATCGCCTTCGCCATTTAACTTCATTAACATCTCCGCTAACCCAGGGCCACACAATTCTACTTAAAAGAGAGAAATTAAGTAACCCCGAACCTACATGTAATTGTAAACAAAGTTACCGGAGATGTGAGCTACGGTGTTTTCACTGTTGTAGTGGGTGGCAAAGGAGTCCCCCTTCTCCCCTATCCTTCCTTCTCCCTGAGAGATGAAAGTGATACCAACCTTTGCTGACTGCTTACTGTAGGCCGTTCCTTGCCTCGAACATCACAATACGCTGATTTCCTCAGTTTCCATGGAGATTCCATGAGTAGTTAGTAGAGGAAACAGTGTCAGAAACGTGAAGAAACTTGTCTGAGGTCCGATGGCTTGTGAGCAGTGGAGCAAGGGTTCCAAATGTGGCAGATTGGTCCCAGCTGTTTCTAGAGAAATCACAGGACCACACTTGTTCCAAGATCTCGAGTCTGGACTTCTAGACTCCACAGACGAATCCAGGCATTTTATTACCTCTACATCTGTCACTTCTGTCTCTATCAGAATGGCTGCCAAGTCTCCCATCTATCTTCCCTCCAGTTCTGTGTTTCTGTTTTATTGAGAAGGTATTTGCATCCAACCCCATGTGGTCAGGACTGAGCTTCTTAAGTCATCCCCACAGGCCTTTGCGTTGGACAGGTTCCCGACCTTCTCTGGATAGTCTGTAAATAATCACTGTCTTTCTCCACTCTAGGCTCCTTCTCCCCAAACTCGTAAAAGCTACATCAGAAAATCTGAAAGGATGCATTGGTGCACATCTGCCAGCCTCTACCAAAATCAATGATTGTTAACACTTTTCCACGGTTCAAGTTCCAATTTATTAATCCATTTCCCCCTAGACCACTTGAAAGTTTATCCCAGAGATACCTCAGCCTGGAAAACTTCAGTGTTCACATCACACATTCCTTGATTTCGTCTGTCCAGCAACTCACCCCCACAGTGCGCGTGCGTTCGTGTGGGCGTGTGCATGTGCGTGCGTGCGTGCGTGCGTGTGTGTGTGTGTGTGTGTGTGTGTGTGTGTGTGTGTGCATGCATGTGTGCTTGCATGTGACACGTTGGTCCCCGGTTTCTACATCTTTGAGACAGGGTCTCCTGTTCCTTCATGCATATATGGCTAGCTGGCCACAAGATCCAGGCTTCTCCCATTTTGCCTTAGGAAGCCTAGGATTACAAGTGAGCTACCATGTCCAGTTACATGGGTCCTGGGAATCCAAACATGGGAGCTCATGCTTGAGCAGTAACATTGGCCCATTTCTCCAGCCCCAGTAGTCATTTTGTAACTGTTATTTCTTCTATAGATGTTCTCTTGTTTCGTTTGTCTTTTAATATGAGCAAGTTTCATACATTGTATTTGTAGTAATGCTTCTTAGTCATTTCAACACACTACTCTCATCCCCCACCTTTGTTTAGTTTTTGGACAGCTGAAATGTTTTCTCTCCCTAAGGGTCTCCTCTGGTCCTGTCTAGTCTCAGCCAGCACTTAGCAAGACGGGGAGGAATGGCTCCAGAATTTTTACTCTGGGCAACTTCAGAGGGAATAAAGTCTGTGGGGAGTAGGAGAGATCGTTTTCTCCTGACAAAACCAGGACAAGCCTAGATTGTTGATTTATTTGTCAGGGTCGCTGCCCTGAGGCAATCAAAACTGTTGGGGAGGTGACACATGGGATGGTAGAGACAGAACTGCCCAGGTTCAGACCTCAGCTTTGCCTCTTCCAAGATGTATGGCCTTGGAGAAGTTACTTAAAGGCTCCATTACTTGGCTTTATCGTCTGTAAACTGATGATGTAGTAATCTGAAATCCAA